AGAAATCGAATCATACTGGCAAAAACCACCTGTATAGTACTTATGAGATTGCTATTATCATATCGATTAAGTAGCAGCTGTGATATCGATTGAAATTATGAAATTGATATGAGTAGAAATAACAGTAAACATATTATAGTATATATATTTCCATATTATAATTATAAACAGAACTTGTGCTTTGTTTGAAATAACTAAAATTGTTTGTAAATTATTAAGACAAGTAAAGGATTCCATTCAAGCAAAATTAGTAATTCATTTGCTTTCTGACCTTCTAACTTACTGACCGCAGCTCCTCACCTTTGACCTTTAGATACGATATTTCGCTATTAACCAACGAAATAGACATTTGAACGGTGATATATTAATGAAAAAATTGAACTATTAATATGTGTAAATAAATTTGAAATTTACCAGTACTTCTTATTTTAAATGTAGTTTCATGATTACTATTTAATATTAAATGGTTATTCTTTTATTATTTTATCATTTCGCATTTCTTCTCCAAGTAAATTTCCAAATTTTAAATAAATAAAACAAGAAGAAAAAAGAAGGAAAGAAAATAGAACAAGAAGTGCAACGAGAAAGGCCCACAAAAAAAAAAAAAACGGAAAAATTAAATTAAAATGTATTACTTCTGTGATGTATCCTTTAGGAGAAATATTATGAGTGAGATTTATGATTGTCAGTTATAACATTACAACTATTTAGTGAAATATTAAAAGATGAAATTGATTCAAATGATAGCAGAATGATAGATTATCGCTGGAATAACTATTAAATTATGAATTAAAATATTTCTTCAAGTGCTTAAAAGTTCTATCGCTCAGATTTTCATTTATATTATCACTGTATTTATTCATTTACTGTAATTATAATGAATTAAACTTCAAATTTTTTTTTTTTTGCTTCTGATTAAGACTAACACAGTTTGGCAATTGCCAATTCCACTTTCTTCAAATAACACTCAATGACATTAGCAACACTTGAATCACAGAAGCTATTTAATTTTCCTAATTAAAAACACTTTAATTAAGGAATCATGTGGAAGAATATTTGAATGGTTGCTTCAACACAGCGAATGATTTGTTTAATTTAAAAGAAATCAAACGACAACAGAAAGATAAATTATCAAGTAATAAGAACACCAATTGGAAATAACTGAGTTTTAAAATGCCTCTATTGCTTTTAAAACAACCCCAATATTTATAATTCCAAATGATTATCTCAAGAATTTGAGCCAAAAATAGAAATTAAATGAAATTAAATAACGTTCAACTTAGTAGTGTATAATTAGAAACCTTAAATGAATTGGTGTTACAAAATAATGAGTAAAAGTTATAATTTTGTTTACTGCAAATTAAAATAATAGATAGCTAGTTAGCACCATATTTCGCTCTAAAATAATCAAAGAATATTAAACTTAAAATAAATAATCAAATATCATTCTTCAACCATTGCTTATAATTTATCCATGAAATAATCATCAGCTATAGATAGCACTGTTTATTAATACTTCCGCCTATAACCTTCGCCCTCTTTCTCAGTATTTGATCTTTTCTAATAATTGTCAATAATAATTACATATGAAATGGAATGAATGACATCAAATATATCTCTTCGGAGGAATTTATTGATCATCAGAAGATCATTCATCAGAAATATTCGAGTTTTTTGTTTTTTAATTCCTTTCTCATTAATTTTAATTCAACATTTATTTTCTGTCATTTATGTTATTCAGCGGCGAGATTATTTAACATTCAATAATTAGATTAATGAATTTTTAATCCTTTTTATCATTGATATAAAATCAATACTTATTTTCTGTTATCGATAAAATCGATCAATTAATTACTATTGCTAAACACACCGTAATTGTATTTTGCACGATAGTTTCTTCTTATGAAAGTTAATTTAAGTCTCAGTCATTGAAATAATTTAAAATTAAATTCGAATTGAAGTTACAAACTAATTAAGAAACGTTTAAATTAGGCTGGAAATACAAAATCTTTATGAGATTATATTACACTTTTTAATGCATATAATATCTGATAAAAGTATCAAAAAAAACATCGAAAGAATCGAATATTAATCACATTTCCATTTACCATTTACATTTAACAAACATAATTGTTTTCTAAATATAAATTATAGAATTTTAACTTAAAATAATTGAAAACTTTGATAAACAGAAATAACTAGGATTGAATATAAATTACTAATAATTTGTGTGATAGATTAGCTGAATAGATTTGTTGTATGGCAATGTGACATTTACATATTTTTAATTACCGTTAAGGAATATTTCTTTCGTTTTATCGTTTTCATTTTATAATTTTTCAGCCTTTTTTTCAGATTCAAAAAAAGTTTTTTTAATGTTATCAAAAATGCAATGAGCGTTTTCTGATGGTTGAAAACAGTGGAATTCTGGCATCTACTAGAACAGTTTGCATACTATTGAAATATGAGCAAGAGCTCAAATGTCGTTGATTTCCTCAGTTCCGCCTTTTTTCTTTTCTTTTTTTCATTTAACTTTAGTTTAAATATTAGTAACTGAGTATGTCATTATATCTTGAAAGAAGTTCTTATAAGTAATTTGAGTTTGATATTGTTTAGTTAAAATAAAATCTGAATTTTGGATAGCATAGTCCACGGTAAGCCAAAGTGAGATATTTTCACCGAGTTAATACCTATCATTGCACGCAACACTGCAGTAACTGATCAGTATACCTGGTCGCAACGTACGTAAGTAATAGCTGATTGCAACGTACATAGCTTATCAGCTTAGTTCTCCATTTATCATATGCAACTACCAATTGATTTCACAATTAATTTCATCTCTGAATTGTTTATAAATTTTGGAAAATTAGTTTTCTTATAAGGGATCAAGTATGAGTATCATTTATAATAATCAAATATTGAAACTGGTCGATTAATTTTGAAATTATACTTTGTAAAGAAATTTTAGTGACCGATCACCTTAAACTATAAGATATATTTAGTGAAATAGAAAATAACTAATTTTGTTAATATTTAATGCTATAATTTTTATTGTGCTAATAATTCTAATTATAGCTAATGTCATTAATCATCACCATAATAATAATAATAATAATAACTAATGATAATTAATAATAAATAATAATGATTCTTACTATCACTGTTAATAAGAATTTATATAAAATTTTATAATATTATCTTTTTTTTTCATGCTATGAGAACATTTAAAAATTAAAGGCAATTGTAACTATTTCGTAAAATTGCACGCTGTTGACAGTATCATTGCATAACTTTTTTACTTTTTTTTACTCTTACTCTTTTCAAAACATTATAACAAATAGAAATTATGAACCACTAAAACTTTTAAAACTAACCTAAATCTACACTCACTAAACCTACACTCGTATCGAACATGGCGATAACTGTAATTAGGAGTATTCGTAACCTTTCAACACAATCTTAATCTAAAATCTCCTCTAAAAAAGAATCAGGTAAAGGTGGCACATTAGCAATTTATTTGCAATTCAGCCATATGGAATTGATTGGTAACTTTTTTTTATAAGCATTTCAAATTAAGAAATTGATGGAAATGTAAGGAAACAATTTAGAATGGAATATTCATTTCTTTTATTAATTAATATTTCCTAAGTTCATTAAGTCGTGTTGACTGGTGAAATTATATCACTGTTGACAAACATTTCATCTTTTCATTACAATGTCATAAACAAATTTTGTACTGATGTTAGAAAAATACTGCAAGATTTATTGAATTTTAAATTGTGATTTTGCGGCAATATGTTTTGCAGATCATTTTCACGTGCATAATTATATTTTGCATAGGTAAATGTTTTGAAAACTTTTTTTTCTTTGCTGAATAGCTATTTATAAAATTAACGACAAATTTTCGAATTATGTATTTTTTTTTTCATTTTTTTTTTTGTGAAATTACAATGCACTGATAAAACATGAAGAAACTGGCGTAATATTCGGAAGAAGTTTAGGTTAGTTGGTAACACTCATAAAGTAATAGTTTTTCAAAGTAATATTCAAGTTAACTACATCAACACGAACACTTATATATACATATGTATTTCAATATATTCTTTTCAGTATTTATCCAATGAACGTAATTTAAAAAATGATAATATAAATTTTAGTATTATAAAATATAATGTAAACTTTAGCCAAAAACATAACCAAAAAGAGTACATAGCGACTTGCAGATCTGCAAAGTACTGCTAATGGTGCAATTTTAACAATTACGAGAATTATTCCAACGTACATCTACGGCTACTGTTATCATTTTGAGAGAAAATAATGGTTGAAATGAAGCATATTTGAAAGACAAAATGAGATACCTTCCGGTCTAAAGAGTATAAGCTGTTAGCACGATGAATTCTAATGAACTTTTATCAGAATCAGTTAGATAAGTGGATGGAAATCAGAAATAAACATATCACAGCAGATCAGATATTATAGTATTTCTTGATCAGATATTATAGTCGAAAGCTGCTTACAAAATATGAAATGGTAATATCCGAGTTTTATTAATTGAAGTTTTAATAATGAAATACTTTCGACTAACAAAATGTTATTTGCAGAGATCAACAAAGCATTCAGCGATTTACGGGAGAACAGCTGATTTTGATCTAAGGTATTATCCGGAAAGTATCTCATTTTGATGATGGAATAGAATTTCTGATTGGTACCTGCGACATACTGTACGAAAAGCAGAAGAAGCATGAAAAAGTCGATATTGTGAAGTGAACAGATTTCCAAATGAGAAATTTTTACAATTTACGTAAAATATTATTTTGAAGCAAAAAATATTGGAAAAAAAAATAAATAATAAAATAATAAGGCATTTACAAAATGATCTAATAGCCGTCATTTACTAGAAGCAGCAGCTATGCTAATTTTCTGATATCTGAATGAAATAAAATAATTGAGTGATTCAGCTGTCATCCAATTCAGAAGTCAATTTGGTAAGCAGCTAAAGTATGAAGAAGGTCAGTGTTTTGATGCACTTCTATAAATGAAATTAAAATTGAAATAGTTCGGTTTTCCAAAGAACACAAACAAAGAAGGCGCATCTGTTCAATTGTACACTTATTTCTCATATATATAAAAGAGATCAGTCTTTTCTGTATGAACTGTGATCACTTTCTGATCCTTTCATCTTCTGAATTCTGATCGCTTCATCCTGTTACTTCTCGTGCATAGCGTACGGATTTGGGAATGTTTTGCTCAAATTTAAGAAATGTGACTTTTGGATAGATAGAGAATAATCTTAGAAACAAATTTGTAGAGATTAAATATGCAACTGTGAATTTAACTTAGTTTGCGAAATTAATGAATGGACAATTTGAGTGATAGAAAAAGAAATAATTCTTTTTTTGACTTACACTAATTTACTGTTTAATGGGATTAATGTTTGATTGTTTTCCAGAAGGAAAAAATGAACAAATTGCTAATAGCATTTGGCTTAATTATTCTTACTGTGACACTGCCATGTATGTCACAATCAGATGACGAATTCGACGACGTAAATTTTACAAGCTTACTTTCCAAAATTTATAAAACAATTCAGAGATGAAATTAATTGTAAAATCAGTTGGTAATTGTATACGAAAAGTGAGCTGATAAGTGAGAGATAATAAGCTGATAAGTGAGAGATAATGTAACGAACGGTTAAATATATTTATCTACTTGTATTCTTCTGAGAAAATAGTTCACGAATGAACAAGAAATGAAAATGCTGACTTATCGCAGTGCAAACTGACTGAAATTCTAATTCATTCCTTTTTCACAAATTAATTTTTAGTACTAAATTACTATTTTTGCATTCTTTTAAATATACTCATTAACAAGTAATCATTTGTTTTTCTCAGGAATCCTCAGGTGCTGATGACGGAGGAGATGGTAGTGAAGGAGGAGATGAGTATGTCACCAAGGGGAATTTGTTGAAACTGATGGCAAGTGAGTATAAAAATCGATCACTTTTAATAATTTAAATCTTCTGAAAATCTTCTCTGTCTGTTAATATCCTCACTCAACATTTCCATATTATTTCCTTGAAAAGGCTTTCTTTATTGGATAAAATGTTTTAGAATAATATTTTTCCAAATCACTTCCAAATGAATTCCTTTGTCACATATTGCTACACTTGTAAATTGTGTGCTGTAAGTAAAGTTTAAAAGTAATGAGAAAGACAGAGGTTGAATTTTGTTTCACCAATCTGAAATGTTTGCAGAAAGAAAGAATGCACTTCTCACGAAGCGTGCTACGACCAGCGTGAACCGCAAGCTTGGTGCAGATTGGACGAGAATCAGTCGTGGACGTAAGAGTATTTTTCTATGTAATTCTAAACGAATTACCGGTGTTTGCGCGTCAGTAAATGCAAACATACTGAAAAGTGTATATTATTTAGAGACAAAGGTTGCTTCTGTGATGATAAATTGCATTCATGCGTTATCGAAAGAAAGAACAGTGGCAAGTTGGAATATTCGTATTGTGCGCCTCAAGAAAGTTGGCAATGCTCGTAAATGCTTATAAAGCAAGCAAAACAAGCTGTGATGATGCAAACTTTCAATTCTACCTTTCTATTTTAATTCCTTTTAGCAGCCAAATTGATGCTTGTTGCTACTTTTATTAAATATTAAAAATATGAAAGATAATGGAACACATCACATCAGTAGGTAGTCATCAGTGTTACAGAAGGAATGAACTTTGCCATAATTCGATATCTATAATGACAAAGGAAGTTTCTTTTATGAAGGGATTTGGGATATTTTAATCTTAATGTTCTGCCCTACCTTCAAGTATCTTACTGAATAAAATAATAAAAGATTAGCATTAAAATTATACAACATTACAATAATGAACTGATACATAACACACAAATGTAACTTAATTATAAAACATTTAAAGATATAAGCAAGCTAGACACCTCGCAACCGAGCCACACCAAACAAAGAACTATAATGAGTGGCTTTGTAAGGGAGAAAATTGGGAGGGATTTTATGGATGCTAAGGTTACAAATTAGATTAAAATCACTTAATAGTCTTTGTTCACTACGTTATAGCTTTGCCATTGTGGCGATAATTGGTACGTCATTTAACGGATTGTTAACCTGTTCAAGTTCGTATCGAAAGTATTTAAGTCATTAATATACTTGTTTTATGGATGGCTAAATAAATGTGCAGCAGTTATAAATAAAATCCGTAAAAGTACGATAAACGATATTTTGACTTAAAGTATAATGAAAATAAATCAGAATAGTGAGACAGATAGAGAGCATAAAATATAATAATAATAATTCGAAACTAAATTTTTTACAGACAAAGTAATTCCATTCAAACTGTCTACAGCAAAAAGAAAAATAAAACTATAAATTCAATACAACAAAGACTGAACTTTCTGATAAGATAAGAGTAAAAAAAAAAATGCCTAGTTAATCAAACATCTTAGCAATCCTAAGAATAATTATAATTGTAGCAATAATAATAATTATAGTTGCAGCAATAAATTAAGTACAAATATCAACATCATACAAGCTCACCAAATATACATGATGACCTCAAATTGTTGAAATTCAACTAAAAGCAAAAATCATAGCTAAATAAACAATTCTTATCAATTAAAAACAAAACTTCATTAATAACACTGCAAACATGCAAATGAATAACATACATTTCCGAATGACATAGTTTTCTAAAAAATCAAAACAAATAGTGATGAAGCAAAGTGTTTATTTTGTTCGTTTTTTTCTATGGTACCAAAAGGTAGTAAATCCTTTTTTAATATCATAGAAAGAAGTATTAAAATTGATCAAGCAACAAAAATAGAAATGACTTGCCAAAAATAGGAACAGAAAATAAACAAACATATTGGACTAATCCAAATTCATAGCAATAGATGCTATATTATTAAGCAAAGTGTTTATTTCGTTCTTTTTTTTTCTATGATATCAAAAAGGTAGTAAATCCTTTTTTAATATCATTAATATTTTATTTCTGGCCACTAGCTTGATATTTCCACTTTTGATTATTAAATTAATTCGATGAAGTAATTTTGATGAAAGTTTTTACTAAATTTACCAAATGCCAAAAAAGTCTTAATATCTCACTTTGTAAATTTACCTCATTTTCAGCGACCAATGCTAACAACTGCAGAATCATTTTATAAAATGATTGTGCAAGAAAAAGCGCAATGTGTCGTGATGCTATGCGCATTCACTGAAACCACTGAAAAAAATTGTCCACCGTACTTTCCACAATCATTCGGAAGAAACCAATGAAGATTTGGATCTACCTATTAAATGGATTATTTAATTAATTAAAAGAATTTAGTCATAATTAATAGTAAATGGATTATTAAATTTTAATATACAAAATAAATAATAGCATTTATAGGTGTAAAATTATCTGTTTTATTAATTTTTTTCTCTTTCTACGTCAATTATTCGGTGTTAATTTAATTTAAATAAAAGCAAAATTTAAAAATTTCAATCACGCACGCCATTTTTTAGACGGAGAAAATGAAAGAGGAAGCAGATATAACAATTACGACATTGGCAATCACTGAAGTTGGTAAAGCGCAACTTATAGTTAAACATTATCATTGGAAAAATTGGCCTGAAAGGGGCTTTTCGGATCCGTCACTTACGGTTTTCAATTTGATATGCGCAATTCGAAATTTCAAAAAACCAATCGTTGTGCACTGTTCTGATGGTACCTTTTATGATTTTTCTTTAAAATTATTTCAAAAAAATGAAAATAAGCAGACTTTTGAAACAAATATTATATTGATGAAATGTATTTCTGAGAATTATTAAATTAATGCAATTAAAATTAAGAAACACAGAAAAGTATTTTTTGTTGCAATAAATCAATCACAGTTTATACAAATTAAATGATAACGTTTACTTTATGGAAAGTAAATACTAATTAAATAGGTATTGGCCGAAGTTGTATTTTTGTGGCCATTGAATACACACTGCAGAGAGTGCTGCAAGGTGGAAGCTGCGTTGATCTGATAGAAGTGGTGAAGGAAATTCGAAATCAACGTGCTATGGCTATAAGCACTCCTACGGTTTAATATAATTTTTAATGCTAGCATAATAATTTTTAATTAAATTAAAAATTTAATTTTCAAAGTTTCACATATGTGCAGTAAATGATTTGTGAAAAGAGAATAAATTCATTTGTTGATTCCTTTTTTGCCTAAAAGATTTTGATTGAAAATAACCAAGCAAAATATTTTATTAGCAACAATATAGTAAATTTTACTATGCTAATTTTTTGATGAATATTTAGTGAAAAGCTTTTTAATAATATAATAGAATACTACATAATTTTTGACATTGGAATTCAAGGGAAATTTTTGGAAATGATTAATAAATTATTTCAAAATGATTTAGAAAATAATTGAAATGATTTAGACAAGATTGGAAATGAATTGTTTAATAATTAATGATAAATAATGATGTAATAATTTAAAATCACTTATATAGCAATTGAAATAATTTATAATTGGAAATAATTCGAAAGTAACATAACAATACGAAATTTACATAACAATTGAAATTGCTTGGACAGTAATTGGAAATGATTTATCAGATGAATGAAAATTACAGCAATACATTGTGCTTAATCGTTTGTTACTTCAATTCTTTCATGAACTCAATATCGTTGACATGTCACAGCGTTTACTCGAATTTATTGATGATTACGATGCATATGCAAGAAGACATAAAGTAAAAATTGCAGTTAAAACTTTTCATTTTATTATTTTTGAAATATGGCAATGGTTCTTTTCTCTTAAAAATTGGAAATTTATTGCTCAAATTTTTTAAATTAGTATCAATTGCAATAGTAAATAATAATTATTTTACATTTCAATTATTTAGCTGTGTTCTACATGAACACCAATTTGTTTGAAAATGTTACACACGTATTAACTGTTTAATTTAGGAAGCAAGAAATTATTGCTTTTTAGGCTAATTTAATTCTTTAATTTAATAAACCTTTTTTTTTGGTTCCTTTATAAAAATCTTTTTTTTTGATTTTCTTGTAGGACGAGAAATGAATATAATTTTAACAACGAATTAGCATATATCTCTATCAATTGTACGAATCAATGCATTTATCACAATAAACTTTAATTTCACATTTTATCAACATGTTTTAAATGATTGATATGGTGAAATGAAATCAATTAGTTGAATTGAATTACATGAAATGTATTTGCAAGGAAAGATGTGAATGTGAATAAAAATGAATGGATGCATTCTAATTGTGATAATGCATCGAAAAAAACTTTTAAGTAATAATTTCAAGTAAAAGGCTAAAATATTGGATGAATAAATAAATATTCGAGCAAATGACAATAAATTATAAATTTGCATGTCTGAAATTTCTTTTTGCTTTTCAAATGTATAAAACAGTCATAAAATAGCGAAAGAGTTAAATGAATCTCAGTCGAGTCGACCGGTTATTTCTTTCTATTAGCTCATTTTTCTGAAGCTAAACTAGGATAAGCCGAATGGGTGATTCTACAGTAAGCCGTGGTGTGGGATATGTCCAACCACCCGAAAGCGATCGTCGAATGTGCGCCCTCTGCAACACATCGTTAGGTGAGGAAGCGGTGATTGCAATGAATCGCCTCTGGCACCCCGATCACTTCCGCTGCCATGCTTGTAATGCACCAATCAAGCAAACCTACCAGGTAATCATCTCTGCTGAATTAATGTCATACCTAGGATGGCTTAATCTCACCTAGATTTCATGACTAGAAGGGTAGATTATCTAGAATGGTTAACCATTCCCGGTATCATAATTTGCAATTTTCCTTGCATGGAGTAATTGAACTGTTAATCTTTCCCAATATTAGAATTCAAAAGCGTTCCCTTCGCTGAATATCAATAATTGAACTTTAAACTGGTAGTGTCAACTATTAATGCAAACACAACTTTTATTTCAGAGTAACTTCATGCTATTTCAGTAGGAAATAACAAATGTGTAAACTGACTTACAGTACAATAAGCTTAAACAAATTCATCCCAAATTTAATAATTCCAAGTTCGTTTATTTTCTTATAATTTAATTAATAGCATATAAAATTGATAGCATTTTAGATTGCAGATGAAATGCCATATTGTGTACAATGTTTTTCTAAGAAATATAATCCAAAATGTCACGGTTTGTAAATAAAATTTTCCTGTTTTTTCGCAGTACCATTTTCAGTTATTTGCTAACCAATAAATAAACAATGAAAAATAAAACAAAAAGAAAAGAAATTAACACTTAATGCTAACTGATGCAATTATTCTTAATTGTATGATTCGTCCTTTCATTTTTTCTTTCTAATTTTCATTTTAATTTCGTAAAATCATTGTAAACTTTAGTTGCACAGCCTTTTTCTTTTTTTTCTTCCGTTTATTATAAATCATTATTATTATAAATAATGAAATTAATCAAATGAAGCAATGTCAGATTTTTTTTCTTTGTTTTCAACTTTTTCTTTTTTCAATTTCTTGGAATTATTGTGGAATTAGCATCCGATTAGAGCTAAGTTAAATTCAATAAATGACTTTTCCCAAGTTAAATTCACTCGAATTGATATTGCTGCTAGATTAAACAAGTTAAATTTGCCAAGTTAAATTTGGCAAATTTATGTTGCTGGGCTAAATTTAATAAACTGGTATTGCTAGGCTAATAAGAAATATTCAACAATTTAAGTGAAAAAAATATGAAAAAATTTCAAATTTCCAAAAGAAAAAATAAAGCAAGGAAGAATAAATACATTCCTAATGCAGGTTGTGGTGAGATACTTATCGATTCATGCTTAATTGCACTTGATAAACACTGGCATCCACGTTGTTTCACGTGCGCTGCGTGTAAACAACCAATACCAAATGGTAGCACTATATTTTGATGATTTCCATATGATCGTGATTGTCTCGGGAAAAACGTCATCGAAAAGCGCATCCGTGTCATGCAGGAGCGCATAATTTTTGAATCATTGTGAGTTGAATTTTGCAATTTTTCGTTTATTTTTTAAAATTTGAATGCTTAAAAATTCATGGATTTGTTTTTTTTTTCCAAAATTCTTTCTTGGAAAGAAAAAAAAACATTTATAATCAAATGTAATCATACATTTGTTAGTTGCAAATTTTCATTTCATTTCCGAATTACCACCCAAATCTGTGACATTACAATCATTTTCGCATCTACTGTGAATGATATGAAACCCATTTGTTACAAAAGCAGTTTAAATAAAATCCCATTAAAGTAATTCTATTCATACAATTCAGAAAGTAAGCAATATTTGGGAATAAACGAAAAAGAAAAGTTTATTTACAAGAGCTAATTTTGGAAATTATTGGAAATACAATTTTTATTATAGAAACATTCTTGGACTCTTAGTGAATCATTTTTTAATCTAAAAGAATAAATTAAATTTTAGAACGAAAATAGAAATCAGGAAATCTTTTTTTGCTATCAAATAGATCTTTGTATTCACATAAATACGAAAAATAGCATGTAAAGTAAGTTATTCCATTGATTTAAAGTCAGCAACAAAAAATTTCGTAACAACATGCAGTTAGTGTAAGAAATGAATAGGTTAAATGTTAAGGTTGTATTTTGAATAATCAATGCAAGAATTCAAGCTATCTGGAAAGAAACAAGTCATTTGAATGATAAAAAATGATAAGTGTGAAATTGTGAAATTGCTCATATTTACAAATTATCTGAAAATTAATAGTTTGATTGCAATTGATGACAGTTTTCTATTTAACTAACATTATTTCACGACACATTAAATTTAATTTTTTCTCATTTTATCAAATAACTTCAATATGTGTGACAGATTATTCACTTTTATTCTCATTTATTTTGAACTTTATCTGTCAAATAATATTTGGTATTGAAATGTACGACAAATTAGTATACAGTTGACTTTTTCGGGAAAATTGATTGTGAACAGATATTATGCTGAGAATGTTACAGAAATGCTGTACTAATATGCAAGCTTTACCACATAAAGCAGCTCAACTGAAAATTTTAAAGAAAGCTGTGTGATTCACAAACAGAGCTGAAAACAGAAATGAAATCTACAAGTTTGATCGATCAAATAATTTAAAACCGCAACACATCAAAACTGACAATTTATAAGCTGTATTAGTAAAAACAAATTGTACCTAAAGATTAGCTGCAATACACATAAGATATCCATTTAATTCCCTCATATTTCTCATTTTCTTTAGACAGCTTTACTCGAAAAATCAATTCGATTCGCAAGTTTATAGGAAAAAACAATTAGAAAAAACCAAAACTTCAAGGAGCTTTAATTAAGATATAACATATTTCATAACTATCGACTAACGGTATGCATTATTGCATGATAAAGGATGCTACAACCTAAGCACCCGCATTAAATTCAAAGAGCAAATATTCAGCATACAGACTAACGAATAAACCGATCAGAAAAAAGCCATCTTAGTTTCATTTTTTAATTTACCTATTCTCCTATCTGCAGTTAATAATTCTAGCAATTGAGCATCATCATTTTTATTTAGGTAGCTGTAAACAAAGCATCGGAAAGCATTAGATACAATAAATAATAGGTAATAAGGAAGAAAAAATGCTCGTAATAACGTTTTTCATCAGCTTGTCATAGTATGATTTGAACCACTTGATGAAGAAGTTTGATAACTTTCCGTCCCCATTGTCGCTGAAGTTGACCTAACATTTTGCACTGGTGGTGAGTGAAGAGGATGTAAATTCTGCAAGTAATAAAAAAGAATTAATAATGCAAACAAACAGCATCAACAAGTTTCAACTTAATGATAAATAAAATATGGCTTTGTACTTGCATATATACTATAAAATAAAATATGTGCCAATATATTTCAATATACATTGCTACAAGTTGCAGTACAGCCAAATAATGTTTCCCTTTTTTTCCTACCCTTCTTGAATAATAAAAGATGAATAAACTACGCTTGTGCGCGTGAAAGTAGGAAAATGTTTTCCTTTAAACTACTTGAAAAACTCACAAAGTTGGCCAGTTATACGATGTGCAAAATGTGTAACACTAGTACCACAAAATATTGGATGCTGCACAATTGGCAAATTAAAGGCCCATTTCCAGTGCCAGATGCAATATTGCTACACTCAGTTGCAAAGGTGCTGGCTAAAGAAGAAATCACATGGACTGCTTTTGAAACACTGAGATATTGAAAAAAGCACAGTATATTTTACGCTTCAAAAAACTAAGCCAATCTATTCACTCTGAATGTGGAGCGTTTCGATATAATTTAACTGAAAAATAATGAGTGATACCTTTAAATGATTATGACTAGTCCTTTATTATAATTAAAAGTATCTTAATCCTTAAGTATATAATTTAGAAGATAAACTTATTGTAAGAAGAGTGTTTGCAACTTGAATTCATACTCCATTTAATCAACTACTTTTTTATTTTCTTTTGTAAGATGAATAAAAAACTCTTCAACTTTTGGAATAGGATCACTTGCAGCATCTTGCCAAACTTGGATTGGACTTGCTTTTCACGATAGGACATGCGAAATCATCTTGACGTGAACGTGCTTCTTCTTTTTCCCATGAACATGAAAAATGGCCGTTGGACGTAATTATAAATAACTGAAAAAAACTTACAAATAAATATTTTTTATTTCAATACTGATAATAATAAAAATCTGCCTTCCATATTTTATGCATTAAATTGAGACACCATCATAAAGGAAAATTTAACATACCTCCGGCTTTATTAAAACGTCTTTTTATCTTCTCTTTGTGGGTTGGGTATCCTTCCATACCAAGCCGAATCTTTTTAAGGCCACGTTCCTTTAGAACCTAAAAATATGCAAATTAACGCATAACCAACTATGTTTCAATGACCTCTGTTTTATGCAATATGAAGTACTACTGTTATCAAAAGAAAGTTGGAAATAGCACTCAGCACAAAATTTACTTGTTTTCTACATCACGGTTTTCGGCATAATTGAAAAAACGATAAAGATGGAGTGCTGTAAACAACTTGTGTCGTATCTTCACCCATCTGTGAGGATAAAGTTCATCCCAGTCAATGCATCGCACCAATGCACAACAATGTGGCATTCACGATCTACATGCTTAACAATGAAATTCACTAAAATTTTGGTTAGCACTAAGAATTTCACAATTAATTGTTATTAGTGATAATTTTAAAGGATGAGTTTTGAAATTTATACTAAAATTTGATTACATTCTTCATTTATTTTCCGTTTCAAAATTGATGTCATTTCCATTTATAAAATACATAAATCTTCAGCCTGGAAATAAAGTTGAATGTAATGGTATTTTCTTAATAAATTTCAAATCTATAATTTACAAATTATCAGTACTAACAATCATTTGTGGCAGAAATTCTTCGAGAAAGGCAAAATTGCTGTCTTGCACCTTCATTGTTAAGCATGTAAAAATGAACGCCACATTATGGCATTGGCACGGTGCGAGTTGACTGGTACCAGTAAATTATCACAACTTCATGGGTTCCGAAACTGACACACGTTGTTTACATCGCAAAATCTTTATGTTTCAATTATTCCGAAAACCGTGATGTAGCAAAAGAAGAAAAAAATTTAGCAAAAACTGATATATAGACCAACATTCCATCACAAAAAAGAAGTACATCACATTACAAAAAACAGAATTGCACGAAACAGGAAGCAGAAAGCCCATCAGCTATTTGCATATTTTTTGATCATTGGGTCGCACAAGTTCAACACCATTCGACGTTGGCACGTACAGTAAACATTCGTCCAAGCATAGTATCCGGTTTAGCAATACAAGCCGAAACCACAAATTTTATTTTAACAAGCAATACCAATTTGTCGCCTAAAATTCAACACACGTTATACATTATTGGGCAATCTTCAAATCCAACTCTTATTATTTCATTGGAAATTTTTTTTAATGAATTTATAATTAAGCATAAAATTACCATTTTCTGCATTGACTCATGTCAACGGAAGCTTAGGACCCTGTGATGATGAAGCTACAGCTACCACAAGTGAATTCATGGGCCACTTCCAAGAGGCATCGATCGCTGAAGTGACATAAATTCCACAAACTTAACATTTTTTTTTTTGAAGAATGACAAAATAAAGAAAAAGTTGATTAAAAAAACTGGTAATTCAATTTCCAGTCTTGGCATAAATTTTAGGACTTAAAAAGTTCAATACAACAAAATTATGTAATACCATTAATTATAATTACGATAAGCCATAATATTTGAGGTATACAAGATTTGTCAGCATTATCTCTACCTCTCACTATTTATTCTACTAAAGAAATAAATTAGCATTTTTTGATTCGAGAAAATACTGTGCTTTTTATGGTAGTTTGTTTCAAAAGCAGGCTATAACGGTTGCGTGCTTTGAGCAACATGGACCTTTCAACTGCCCGTAACCACGTGACGGCGAGTCTGAAGGAAATGTGTTGGAAGACAATTGTGAATCCAATACTTACTAAGGTACAGACTTACGATCTGCTCCTTCGAAAAACTACAAATATAGTAACAGTAACAGAAATGGAAAGAAAATATTGGTTCCTACATAATAATTGCACAAGCGTATAATAATTAACTTATGATTATTCACTTATGAAAGTAAAAGAAATGTAAACACATAGAATTATAGTTTGTAGTTTTATTTTTATCAACGTAAATGAAATATATAATGAGATTATTTTATTAGTCTCTTGCAAGTTCTGCCATATTTTATTTATCATTAAGCAGAAACTGTTGAAACTGTTTGTTTGCATTATTAATTCTTGATTATTACTTGAAGAATTACTTCTCTTCCTCACTACCAGTTTAAAATGTTAAATTCAAACAATGGGCATGAAACACTCAAATTTCTTCATAAG